AAATGAATTCTGCAGGTAGACAAGTATGCTGTCAAATGGTGTACAGGGCACCAATGCAGGGTGAAGGTGACACAGCCAGGGAAAGCCAGAAGGTACATTCACAGACTTGGAAATGGCCACTGTGGGGAAATGAAAAGCAATCTGATCACTGCTGAATGACAAACCAGACTCCTTCGGTCGTGGTGACAGTGTTACCTAAATCCGCTGTGTTTGAGCCCCAAGCTTCAGGAATGACCGTACCTCAAAAGAATGTACTCATTTCCTGGTAAACCAGCTGCCCGTTCAAAGAAGGAATCCAGTGCTTAGCTTTACATAAGCCTGGGATGAATTGGAAATGCATCCAAATTCAAAACAGTTTGGGGCCATTCTACGAGACAGATGAAAAGAAAAAGAAAGCGGCACAGATAGTCTAAAGGCAGACTTTTGTATCTGCATGGCGCCTGGAATACTCCAGCTAAAGGTAGCTTTGACCTACATGCAGTACCACATTCTAAGGTTATAAGAATAATAGCAATACATTAATGACATACCTTTCTTTCAGATGGGAGACTGTCTTTGCAAAGTGTTCCGCTCCACCGTCAGGCATATCTACAAGCATGTCAATTATTCAGTTAACCTTTCAGTTCAGGAAATGTATTTACTTATTAGCAAAGACTCAACACCCTTAACAGATTCAAGTTTAAATGATAAATAATAAACCAGTCAAACCCCATTCTTATCTTACCGCTTATGCCAAGGGTTTACAAAAGATACCCTACCAAGCCTTGCTCTGCACAAAGTCTAACTGTGACTGTGATTCACCTTTACCTGTCTCTAGGTCCACTGTCAGCCTGAGCACAGAATGGCTTTATCTATATACAGTTTTGGTCAGAAAAACAGTTGTACAAAAATTGATATATATATATATATATTTCTGCTCTGTAGGCCGCTTTGAAGCTACTGGACTTCCCACCATACTGAACAGTTTTTACAGGGGTTTTCCCCTCCTATATGGTGTCACCTCAGAGAAGCTACTACAACCTTAAAAAAAGGCAACTTCCAGTTTTCACAGAATTACAGAATCAATTAGGTTGAAAAAAACCTCTGAGGTCATTAAGTCCAACCTATGACCAATCACGATGTCAACTAGACCATGGCACTAAGTGCCACATCCAGTCTTTCTTTAAACACCTCCAGGAACAGTCATTCCACCACCTCCCTGGGCAATCCATTCCAATGTTTAATCATCCTTTCTGTGAAAAAATTCCTCCTAATGTCCAACCTAAACTCTGCCCCTTTTTATTACATATAATATATTCCAGGATAGTGTTTGGAAGAAGTTCTGTAATGGCATTGTATATGAATGCTTGTGGTTGGGGTTTCTTTTTGCTAATGGAGTAACAGAATACAGTGTTTATGTATGCATTTCACAAAAAAATATAAATATTTAGTATTCTAATATTCTTGCCATTTAATAACAGTGTAACTTCTGTTGTGTTTTACCAGATATGGAGAAATACTAAGAATATGTAGGAACTTCCCCAAGTTTCATCACTGTGGACTCCTTTAGAACAGTCCTCCTTGACAGTTGTGTTGATAAATGTTTACAGGGGCCTGTGTTTACCCCACGTAACACATCTGAGAGCTCAGAGGGAAAGCCAGGAGAGCGACCTACGCACCATCTCTGTCCACAGACGTCAGCACAACGTAATCCAAGCCCCACTCAGCGATAGCCTTGGCTGTATTGTAAGGCTCCTGGGGATCCAGAGGAGGTGGATTTTTTGCTGTCTTTACTGAGCAAAATCTGCAGCCTCTAGTGCATGTATCACCCATCAGCTGGAACAAGACACACATTCATTTACATGGTGCATGTCACTATTCCTCAGCTGGGAAACAGCTGCATAAGCTACATCAGATAAATCCCAACACTAAGCAAATAAAACTGGGACAGTGCTTTACTCTAAGTTTATTGTAATAAAACCACTCCACTACAGTAGAGATCCAGCAATGCACTACAAACAGCTCAGACATTAACAGAGCACTTAAGAAATGGTTAATGACTTACCATAATAGTAGCCGTGGCTGTGGCATATTCACCACCTCCCCAGCATTCTCCAATGTTGGGACAACGTGCTTCTTCACATACCTGAGGGTGAAAGGCTGTACTGAACCTGCATTTTTCATATTATTATTGAAAATAATTATTTTATTACTGATCAATTTCAGTAGTAGCCTACAAACAGAACATAATTCCTTCTGTGATAAATAAGGTTAACAGTTCCATGCTGTGGAACTTCTGGAGTTGCTTCTTCACAACTGCAACTCCATTAGCAAAAAGAAGCTCCTCAACCTCAAACTGCCTTATTAATTAGCACAGACTGTCATTAACATTTTAAATTTAAAAAGTGTTAAAATGTTCACAAAGTCTATGACTCAGCAAAGGATGATCTTAGCCTGAAAAAAAAAAAAAGAGGAAAAAGCTCTCCATGCATTCACACCACTTTTTACCATCTGGAAGGTACAATTAACAAAATATACACATTTGTACAGTTCTTTTCATGGAAAACATGTATGTAACTCTGAAATTGTGTGTGTTCCCATTAAAAACAGTTGCATATAGCATCTTCTGATCTCTGGTAATGCAAATAGTAAACCCTAGTACTTAAAATCATAGCAGGCAAAACATTCAATACTCTGTTGGATTTATCTTCATTCTTTAGGGGTAAAATTCACCTCTGATAAAAAGAATCAGCATTTGGCTTGGTTTCAGCCCTGAAGATCACGCAAGACATGATTTCTACCTGTTCTGCACAGAACAAAAAATGTAAAAAATGCCTTATTTCTACAGGAAAACTTGGTTGGTGCCAGATTTACCGTGTGAAGATTTAAACTTCTCAAGGTATTCTTTAGTTTATTGTAGTTCTTTCCCATGGGAATCTTTGTTTTCAGCCATGGAGGAAGCCGCAGCCTGAGTAACACCAAGAAAACATAAAGATTAATAAGCTACCTACATAGCAAATGTCATTAATTTTATAGATTCATTTTAATTTTATTATGGATCCCAACAAGGAAAGGTTCCTTGAAAGCTGATGCAACCCAGAAACTAATGTTAACATCATTGATGGTCAGATCAGACTTCTGTCTTCCCTGTTTATCATCATGCCAACACTCAGGTGTAGGAGTTTGCTGTCACTGAAAGGTTTAAAACCGTTCACTGTTCCAGTGGCATTTAACAGTGCCACACTGGAGACTGCAATAATGAACGGCAGCAGTTGATATAGAGCTATTGCTTCTGATCAAATTTATAACTGGAAATATGGGGGTTTAAGCATTTTATAATTTAGTCTTAATTTTTTGTTTTACTCTATCGGTAATATTTTTTCAACAGCAAAGTCGGGTACATTCACCTACTGATATTTGTAATTCAGTACAGGCCACGGCACAGGCACTCACGCGAGAAAACACCATGTCTCCATGTTTTGTTATGCGTGTTTTTGTTTCTTACTGAAAAATCATTAAATTTGCAAGCCAGTAGGGCAGAATTTAATAAAAATACAGAGTATACATTTTGTAGTTATTACTAACTGTGCAAGATAGTGCCCAGAAGCAACTACAGTTGTTTAAAATCACAATTACCTTTCTCCTTTCTCACGCTTCAAATTGCCTTTATACTCAGCCCATGTGCTCTTGTCTGACAGATCTCCAGAGACAAAGTCCTGCAAGTCTGGCCCATTTTGCAGAAACTCTTTTTTGTCCCCTGGCAAAGAACTTGATGTTCCGTACTGGTTACACACATGGCTCCCAGATATCTAAAAGCAGCAAAACTGTAATTTATTTAATAGCAAATGTACTAGCAGCATATACTAAACAACAACTTGCCCTTTTGCTGGTTAATGTACACTTTGCATAAGCATTTTTCCAATGGCCTTTAAGTTAACTTCTTTTTATTTTAAGCCACATGAAACAGACTTATCTACCATAATACCGTGCTAAGTTACACAGTATAACATAAGTTCCCATCGTACTCAGCGCTGGTGAGGCTGCACCTCAAATCCTGCATCGAGCTCTGGGCCCCTCACTGCAAGAAAGAAGGTGCTGGAGTGTGTCCCGAGAAGGACAACAGAGCTGGTGAAGGGTCTGGAGTTCAAGTCCTATGAGGAGAGGATGAGGGAGCTCGAGCTCGGGCTGTTTAGCCTGGAAAAAAGGAGGCTCAAGGGAGACCTGATCGCTCTCTACAACTGCCTGAAAGGAGGCTGTAGCCAGGTGAGGGTCTTTCTCTTCTGCCAGGTAACAAGTGACAGGACGAGAGAAATGCCCTCGAGCTGCGCCAGGGGAGCTTTAGGTTGGACATCAAGAAGAATTTCTTCTTAGAAAGGGTGATTAAACATTGGAATGGGCTGCCTAGGGAGGTGGTGGATTCAACCGTTCCTCGAGGTGTTTAAGCAAGACTGGACATGGCTTGACGTGATGGTGTTCGGTCATAGGTTGGACTCGACGATCTCAGAGATCTTTTCCAACCTCATTGATTCTGTGATTCCGTGAAACACCGCTGTGCGGGTTCCTCTGACACTTCGGGACTGCAGGACGCGGCGATGGCTTCCAGTGCTTCCGGGTGCTGTCCCGCGGGAGCGGGGCCGGGGCTCGGTGTCCTGGGAGTGCGTGTGCCCGTGCGGGGCTGGGATGGCCCTTCCCGGGCTCTGCCCGCGGCCGCCCCGCGCCGCCGCCGCCATGGACCCTCTCGGCACCGGCATCGGGTGCCCCGTCCCCCTCCCCGTGCGATCTCCTCTCACCCTGCCGCGCCACGCTACATCGCCCCCCGCCCGCCCGGCCCCCGGGTCACGCGGCGGGACTCACCCGGGCCCGGCCCCGCGGCAGCAGCAGCCCCCGGGCGGCGGCGGTGGCCCCGCAGCGGCCCCGCGGTAGCAGCAGCGACATGGCGACACCGGTGCGAGCGATGCGCTCGACGCTCGACCGCCTCGCCTACTCCTGCCTCTCGGACGGCTCGGCCTCGGCGCGATGACGTCACGGGCGCGGAAGCGGCTACAAGAGTGCGATGACGTCACACGCACTCTCTTTCCGCGCCGCGCGCTGCCAGGTGAGGCCGCCCGGGATAATCCGGAATCATCCGGGACCATCCGCGGCGCGCGGCTCCGCGCCGCCCCGCCCGCGCGCCGGCAGCCCCCCGGGGCCCCGCTGGGCCCCGCCAGCGCGGCATGTCCCGTCCCGCACCCCGCGGGAGGAGCCCCGGGCGGCGCCGGCCCGGCCGGGCCCCGCTGGGCGCTGAGGGCGCCGCGACCGTCCGGGCGGGGTCTCCGCCGGGAGAGGGCCGCGGGAGCCTCCAGCCTGTGTCGTTCTCTCCCGCAGGATGAAGACCATCCTCAGCAACCAGACCGTGGACATCCCCGAGCAAGGTCAGTGTCCGCTGCGTTTGGGGGGGCGCCCGGCGCTGCCGTCCCCACGGCCCATAACGCGTGTCCACCTTCTGTTCGCAGTGGGAGTTTCGCTGAAGGGCCGGACGGTCATAGTGAAGGGCCCCCGAGGAACCCTACGGAGGGATTTTAACCACATCAACGTGGAGCTGTCCCTCCTGGGGAAGAAGCACAAGAAGGTGAGTTCTACGCGGCGCGGAGATGGAGGGGAGTTTAACAGCTGGCTTAAAAGCTTAATGGTGGTGTAGAAGGGTGACCGAAAATGTTCAGCTACAGGTACGTTGTTTGGTTTTGTTCATTTCTGTGTTTTCTGAAAGAGGTTGGTCTAATGGAGCATGGGACCTACTCGGGCACTGTGGGAGCGTTGTGGTTCTGTCACATTGGCCTGAATGTGTTGGTTGCATTCCTTTGTAGTTAAAGTCAGGTACAGGGAAAGGGATTGATGGATGGATGTTGTTTTACAGACTGGCTCGTTTTAGCTGGGTAAAACTAAATCAGTTTGTTTGATTTCCAGAAACAGCAAGAACATCAGAAGAGCGGGTGTTTTCTAAATAAATGAATAATATTTTCATATAGTCTTGAAAAGTATAAAAAAAATCCAAGAGTGGCTGATTGCAGCTACTTGTTCATAAGTATCAAGTGTTTCATTGAAACGTGGACCCACACATAGTGTTTCATTTAAGTTGATGATGCATAGGAGCCTGACTTTGGAACAACGTGTTTAGCATTTGATAATACAACCTTCAGCTTAAGATTTTGGATTTATCTTTCCTAGCTCTTTTGAGGATTTGTTAGTAGCAAGACATGAACAAGATAAAGGTTTCTGACATATATGGGGGTTGGGACTTTAAAGGCCAGGTGGGCCTTTAATAGTCCGTCAGAGAAACAGAGTAGTTCTGTGCTTTTAAGTAGTTTATGTGAATGTTTTGCTCCTAGTTTGTCACAAAAATATTTCGTTGTTAGTTTTGAAGTGTAGCTGAAAGCTTTGTTAATGTGTTTTTTTTAACCCAGCTGCGAGTTGACAAGTGGTGGGGTAACAGAAAGGAGCTGGCAACAGTCCGCACCATCTGCAGCCATGTACAGAACATGATCAAGGGGGTCACTCTGGTAAGTTTTACTTTGAAGCAGGATAACTGCTGACATTTTTGTTACCTGCAGTGATAGCCTTTTAGTTTTGGGGAAGTGTTTCTAAGCATCCAAGATGTAGCTTCTCTTCCTTTTACTGTTTTCTTGCACTTGATGTCAAGCAAGTTTTGCAGGTGGAAGAAAGCACAGATGTCTCTTGGGCTCAGTGTCCTGCCCTCTTTAAGAAACTATTTTTGATACATCTTGGGTAGATTTCTCCAGTAAACTTAATGCACATGTTCTGCCTTTTGATTGTGTTCTGCTTTCAATGTCTGATTATGTCCTGTATTGCAGGGCTTTCGTTACAAGATGAGGTCGGTGTATGCTCACTTCCCAATCAATGTGGTCATACAGGATAATGGCTCACTTGTGGAGATCCGAAACTTCTTGGGAGAGAAGTACATCCGCAGAGTGCGGATGAGGCCAGGTGAGCATTTCTGGAGATGTACTGTGCCATTCTAACTGGGCTTTTCAAGCTGTTTTCTTTGGGCACTGCCACAGAGAGCAGGAGATGCTGAATAATTGTTGGAGCAGCATTTGCTTGTCTGAATTCATGTAATCTTCTTATGATACCTTTGCCACTATTCAGCTTTATTATTAATAAGGATTTTGTAATTTATTTTTAATATTGAGAGCTAGCTAATAACTACTTTAGAGGTAGTTACTGCAATACAGGGAGTCCAAGATGTCCTTTTGTCATTGTGAGATCTTGGCACTGTTTATAGTTGGTAAACTGCAGTGCTTAATTTTAGATTTGTGTTTCTGTTTTAAACATTGTACATAAATTAATTCCATATCATATTTTTGGTCTTTGAGGTGGTGTAGTTTGAATTTCCTGATTATCTAGGAGCAGGCATGATAAATTTCAAAATGACCATCTTACCTGCTGGTTTTACATCTTGCATACTTGTAGTTTCAGCAAAATGTCTAACAGAAGAGTAGGCACTTGATGGAGCTTGTTAACTTCTGAAGGGAGGAGACAAAACATTTCATAAACAGTTACCTTCAGACTGTAGAAAAGACTTTCCATATCCTTTTTTTTTTCTAATTGCATTTCTAGTGAGGGTATGGATAAGGTTATTTAACGTGACTGATGACATTTTGGGGTGGCTTTAGAGGAATGCATCAGATTTGTCCCAAAACCCTGTTAGATACAGTGCAGAGTTACAGTGCTTTGATTTTGATTTACAGTGGGATATTAAGGCAGGGTTTAATTACTGTGTTTGTTTTTTTTCAAGTCAGCCTTTACTGTAAAGATAGTAAAGGACTGGCTTTGATTAAGTAGATCAAATTATAAAAACTTTTGTTATCTCCTTGCAAATGCGAGTTTCCCGTTAGACTCTCAGATGCCATAATGTTTACTCCTTGTGAGTATTCTCAGCATTGCTAATAAATAAACACAGTGCTTGACATGACAGGGGGCAGGTGATTTTCAATGACTTTTGATTATGGTGACTCCAGTTTTGTCTTATTGAACACAAGCCTGTGGGAAGTGGCACCACCTGGCTGACAGAGCTGTGCTGGCAAAGTCTCTGACTTGTACACAGTGTTGTTGTGTAGTAATGAGTAAGCAGGAATATCACTTAGTTGCTTTCAATCCAGAGCATAACTTGCACTAATCTTTAAGTTTTGAAACTGTGAGGGAGGACAACCCTGGAATGGATTTCAGGGATTCTCTTAACAAAGTTATAGAAGCTAATTATTGGCTTGAATGCAGCTTTCTAGATCTGTAAACTGGGATGTTAATACTGTTTCTTTATCACACTTAACATCTTTGACAGTGTAGATGATGTGTTTTCCTTTCCACAGGTGTTACCTGTGCAGTGTCTCAAGCCCAGAAAGATGAGCTGATCCTTGAAGGCAATGACATTGAGTTGGTCTCCAATTCAGGTTTGTGAAAGGAGATGTGTAGGAAGGTTATATGGCCACTTTTATCTGAAGATGTCAGCTTAGCAAACTCTTTCTCCTCAAACCCTGAGGTAAACAACAGCCTAGGATTTTTTTTTTTTTGCTTTAGTCACCATAACTGCTTTTCATAATTCCTTATGCTGCTTCTACACTTAAAGATGTTTTTACAGGTCCAGGGAACCTTTTTCTGTAAAGTCAGTATTTATGGCCTTTTTGATACCAAACTTTTCAGCTTTTCTGTTGTACAAGTGTGCAGTAATGAACTGTCAGGGCCCCAAGTTGCCAAGACCAGCTCAGTGACATGCATTCTGTTTTCATTAGACCTGACAGGATTTCAAGTTGGTAATTTCTCTCTCTAGATGACAGTTCCCTTTGTTTGTTGAAATACTGGAGTGTAAACAAAGGCTACAAGTTAGCTCAGACCTCTTGCTTTTTACTAATGGTCTTGCTTTGTCTGCAGCTGCCTTGATCCAGCAAGCCACCACAGTCAAGAACAAGGATATCAGGAAATTCTTGGATGGTATCTACGTCTCTGAGAAAGGAACAGTACAGCAGGCAGATGAGTAAAACTCATAGGTTGGTATCATTTTAATGCACATTGTACATCTTCTGTTTAGAGATGGGGACTTCACAAGGTTCATCTGCTTCAACATGGCTGTGGTTAAGCCAGTTCCCAACAGGGATGCAGTTATGTTTGTATAAGGCAGCATAAGGCATGTCATAAAACTTTAATTTTGCTAGGCCTTTTGACAGCCATTTTTCATCTCTCATCAACTTGGCATTATGCTACTGTATGGAGGAATATCTGACTCTGCAGTGCTGTACTCTGCACTCTGAGCGCTGGCTGCAAGGGTGGCTGAGAATTTAAAACCAGCTGACCTGGCCTGACAGACCAGTTTACAGCTGTTTACAGAGAAGACCTTAGACTGATGTTCCTCCTGGTTGGACACTGCCCTGACTAAAAACAGTGGTCAGCATACAGTTTGTATATAAAGGTTCTTCTATGCTGTTTGTGTGTAAATGCTGGTAAACAGGTCTGTTTACAAGTTCAACTATTTACATTGTATGTGGACTTTTGTTACTGAAGCTGAGTACAAGGATTTTGGGATAATTTAGGAATTTTAAGTGTTAAAGGAATTTTAAATGTTAAAGGGATTTAAGTGTTAAAGGAATTTCGGAATTTTAAGTGTTTCAGCTACATATGGTTCCATGCATAGTGCAAAACACTTGTGCAGGATGAGACAGGCTGATTTGCAAATAAGTTCCATGTTGTGTATCTTCTGTAACCTAAGCTTGAGGTAGGATGCCAATGAACTGAGTTTTAGAAACAAATTTATTTTTTTATCACCAGCCAGGTACCAGACACTTGGAAGCCACTGAAAAAAATAATTTTTACTGCTGTTCAAAGTTACTTGAGAGATGGAACAACTTACTACCTGCTTATTGAACAGTCATGCTGTTGTGTTTGAAGGCATCCTTAAGTAATCTCATCTGAACAAAATAAAGCAAATTCTTTGAGCTATTAATGTCTATCTTGCATTAAAACTATCAGATAAATTAGCATCAAATGGCTATAAACTTTTAGTTTCACATTTGCACTGTTAAATCTTTCTAATAGCTCTTAATGCTTTATTTACAGTTGTCTGGATCCTGATACAAACCACCATGAAACATTAGATCAACAAGACCAGCTCAAAGAATCTGGTACAAAACCAGAACACCATGAGAGGTTTAATAAAATAAAACATACTTAATACCTTGGGTTTTTTTTTTTTTTTAAAGAACTAAATGGTGATTGCATGAACTTGTTCAAGGTCTTTTGGACAAGCAGATTGTCACAGAAAGGTTATGTTAGCGTGGTGTACACACTGCCCTGCCAGCCTCTGAGAACATTCAGTCTGAATGAAGTCTGATGGTTTGAAAACACATTGGTAGTGTGGACCCAGTGTGCAAAGTCATGAAGTGGTATTTTTGAATCATAGCATTAAGGAATAGCAAAAGCATTGTTCTCACAGAGAATAGTGTTCTTTCACATTATTTCAAAACCTCTTAATTCAGACTTGTGACAGAATCTGAAGTAGATTAAAAACAAAACTGAAATCAGTAGAACTAGATTTTTAAGACCATTTAAACTAAATACATAGAAGCAGTAGTCTGAAAATAAAATGCTTTATTTGTATTGCTAAATTAAGAAGACAAAGGGCTTGACCTCAAAGTTCCGTCAGAGCATATTGCTGAGTTTCACCAGCAGTGATTTTTGTCATTGGGGATACAGCTTTTTTTCTTAGTTGCTAATCTTGCCATGTAGCAACATCTAATTGGGAGGTTGTACTATTTCTGCGCTATGGTAAAATCCACATTGTCACTTGTTCTATTCAGTTTTTAAAAAATGTTTCCAAAAATCCCTGGGATAGTGCAGAAACATGCTTGGCAACAAGTTGCTAAAGCGTAATAGTGAGGAAAGCATCCATACATGTTAAATTCCAAAAATTGCCCAAAGACCCGCTTGAATGATGACAAGTGCAATTTACAATTATGTTTGTCAGTCTCTCTTGAGTGGATTAATAGTTACTTATTTGCATGTTCTCTCCTAAGAACTTTTTATAGTGGGCCGATTTTGGAGGTGAAAAATAGTGATTCTGTATGATTTTGACTTAACCCAGTTACATTTGCTTAAAACTACATCACCCAATGTGTCAGGGGATCTGTACTGGTCAATAATGGAGTTGAATTTGTTGTTTTGGGAGCCGGCCCAGGATGTTTCCTTCTTGGTGGTGTACTTAGCTGAAGGTTTGTGGGTTTTAATAACACTTTTATTTGTAAACTCTGAACAGATGCAATTTCATGCTCAACAACACTCATGAATATCACAAGACACCTTGGTTCATAGAAAAGTGCATATCAGTTCGCAAAGCTTAGTCGCCGTTTACAAGTCAAGCTGTTTGAAAGGTTATTCCTAGGCACAGTAGAATCATAATTTTTTTTTTAAAATACGTGAAGTTATCCTCTATGTACAGTAGGTGGATAAAAGTAATTTCACCAGAAACAAATGTCATAGCTCTTAGTCCTGTTCATGTGATTACTTCCTGGTTTTGAATGAAATGCTTGGTGTGTATGACTGGAGTGACTCAGTGCTTTTCTACAGTTGTCTGAGGTGCATCATCCGCTGTAGAACTCGAAGAGTGATGGATCTCACTGAAAGTGGGCTTGTGCCCCCTTTTAAAATGAAATGCAGAGGCACCGCGTGCTTTTTGCCTTATAACGTTTTCTTCTTTTTCTTTTGTGAAAAAAAATAATGGTTAAAAGCAAGATAAGAGTAGAGAAAAGGCAGCAGGCAAAGAATATTAACGGCTTCTTCTGGGAGATAAACAAGCAGAAGCTACACTGCTTTTCTTGGTTTGAGGGACTGCAGACTGAGGAGTTGGCAGGGAAGCCGTTGTTGTTTATCAGGGTATTGTAAAATTTTACTGAAGGCTTTCCTTTTGAATCTGAAGTGAAGAATCCAAATCTGGGCTTAGATTTTTCTTCAGTCAGCTTAAATGCATAGTAGCCTTTAATCTTGACTTTGTCAATGTAGTATGCTGAGAAGGAAGAGAAACCAAAACCAGACATTAATAAAACCTTATAGGTTAGGTAAAACATGCAAACTTTCTGGTAATAAGTTCAGATTTCAAATTGTTAAAAAATGTAATTGCATCATTGCTACTTCTAATAATACTCAGCTGTCTCAATTGTGCATCATTATTTTAAAAAATGCTTAAAATTTGGGAATTTTCTGGACCTACTGTGTGAAAGCTGGATTTGGACAGAATTGGAGCTGGGAGTTTGCTTTCCTGGGAAAAGCCAGATGCTGCTCTTTACTGAACCCAGCTATGATGACTCAGGGGGAGCAGCTCCCCATCTGTGCCATAAGAAGAGCTTTCCAAAAATTCCTTCCCTGCTCCAAATTCAGCTGCCTAGCCCCACAGCATGCATGGCTGTATGTTATACTGCTGCACCCAAGTGCTTGGTGAAAATACTTAAATTATAAATAGCAGGCCTTGGTGAATAAAGATCCCTTCAATTCACGTGCAAGCAGTGAGCATAATTCGGAATGTGACTCTGATTGAGCAAGAACATGTAAATTGGGATCTTTTTGTGAGTACTGTAAAGTGTCATGCTATCTGAGAAGTAAAATGGAAATACTATGATGAAATGCCCTTTAAACAATGCTTTAATAACTTATTTCCTTTAATACTGTATTGTTCTTTTGTTTGCAGTATGAAATTAGCATGGGAAATAAACCAGCAAATGCTCATTAGTCCTTTAGTAACTGAGAAAGAGCTAAGCACTGGGGACAGAGTGCTTTGTTTCTTGGTGTCTAAAAGTAATCTGAAGCCATGCTTAGCCATGAGTAAGATTTGTCTCATTTTTTTTATGTAGCTAACTCCTACAGAGGAGAAACCAGGATACCTAAGCTATGTTTGCTGACAGGTGCCTCAGAAAAACTTTTAAACACCACATCCTGATCAGGGATCTCACTAACGTTTGCCAATAGGGAAGGGAATATAAGGGCAAGGATGTATTGTGCATCTTATTTTGACTGTATGGTTCAGGTACTGAGGCCTTTCTGGTAGCCTGTCGCTCACTCCTTTTTTAACAATTGGTTGGAGGAAGAGGGATGTGAGACCTGAGGTGCTTGCAGGATTTCTCATACAATAAGCTATTGCTGAAGATCATCGTCTTGAATGTTTTTGTCCTCTACCTCCATAACTGTTATTAATTTTTCTTTAAAGTGAAGAACTATATTTCTATAGGTGCCCAGGAGAAAGCAAGTAGTGGAACAGGAACTAGAGTTGGACTCTGCATGTCCCTCCAGGTCTCCGTGGACTTGCTTGCAATTTCCTGTCCAATGACTAGTTCAGCATGCAAGTAAGAAGACTCCTGCCTTTCTTTGGAGAGTAGAAATTTGTCTCTTCAAAGTTGTTGGTCTGAAGTGCCATCTCCTAATAACTTCTGAATAACTACTCTGCTGTATGTGCACGCCCAGATGGCTTCTCACATGCTTTAAACTGGAAGCAGCTGTAGCTACGTTTCATGTCAGAGGCTTGCGTTGTATTGAATCTGCCCTGAGTGTGACTGCAGAATCAGGTCCCTCAGGGAGCTGATTGCTGATGGCCAGTTCCTGCATCTGAACCAGAACTGCTTGCTCCATCTAGTCTTAACAGTGCCTAAGGATTGCCTGGGTCTGAGCCACAGAATTGGCTCTGGGGAACTTGAATGCTCACCTTTTAAAACCTCTTGTACGTATTTTCCCAAGTAATAATTCCGAAGTTCATCGTTGTCTAAGGACGGGTCATCTATTCCATTTGCTGTGATGTAAATATCGATGTCGCCGTAGGTTTTTTTAATCCACCTGAGAACTCTGCGCATTCCCCAAGGCACCACTGCCAGACGAGAAGGGGAGCTCAGGCAGGTGATATCCTGCAGAAATTGAATGTCACGATCAAATTCGTACTGGCTCCCATTCTGAGGTTCGTGAATCACAAATCTCGTGGTAAAATGATTCAGTGCATAAAAGTCAGCTGCACCTTTGATGAACTGCTTTTCCTCACTTGTGAAAGATGGCAACAAAGCGTATGAGAGGCCTTTTCTGTTTTTGAAGCCAATATATTCCCTCATGGTAGCTGGATAGTCCCCAGTCTTAAATATGGGATTGGCAAACCAGCCTATTTCAAACTGAAGAAACCTGTCGGCAGCTTTTGAATGAGATTCAAAGTAGGGGTTGGCAGGCTCAGCCCAGTCCGAATGCAGGGACAGGGACACTTTGCCATCCTGGAAGGACCGGTACTGCTCATCATATACTCTCCAGGCCATGGCGTGTGCTATTAGTAAATTATGTGCTGCCCTATAGGTATCATTGCTGCTCCTGTTGTACACATTGCTTAGCTGGTTAGGCTCGTTTATTGTAATCCAAAGTTTAACCAAATCACCAAGTTCCCTAAAACATAAAGCTGCGTAGTCTTGAAAAGCATAGGCAGTAGATTGGTTCAACCATCCTCCTGCCTGCAGCAAAGGACCTGGCAGGCCCAGGTAGGTGTGAGTGGGATAATACAAGGTGACCATGGATTGAACATTGAGTTTCAGTGCTTCACTAATCACACACCTGTAATATCTAAGAACTTGCCTGTTGACCACTGACAAATCTCCATTGGGTAAAATTAGTGACCAGTCGAGTGCAAATCTGTAATGAGTGACTTTCATTTTTTCTAGGAGGTCAAGTTGCTTTTTAATACTGACAAAATCCGTGCACTGTGCTGGTCGGGTTTTTAGCTTTACCCCTTCAACTTTGTGCAGAAGCCCATCTCCTGTGACATTCCAGAGGTACAGGCTGGAATCGCAGAACTGTGGTGAGGAAGCCACCAATTCTGCCTGTGAAAATAAAAACTATGTTACAATGGTTTTTAATTAAATTAATGCTGCCTCATAATCTGCACTTCTGCCTGTGTTCAGCTGTAGGATTAGTGCTGGGTGTCAGAAAGCTTAGATACTCCAGGGGAGAGAGAATAACCAACTCGCCTATATGAGCTTTGTGCTAGTGGTCGTCTTGTTCTGTTCCTTTATCTACAGAAAACATTAAAGTTGCACTCTCCTTTCTGTTTGGTTACACACTGGCATTTGCCCTGCCACCAGCTTACATGCCATATGTTTTCACACCGATATATCTCCCTGATTGAGTTCGCTCTGTGGTCATGCAAACAGCAGTTCTCAGGCAGC